CCCCCACCCATGAAACCCACAGACCCCCATCCCCAGATCCCCCCAGCCCCCCACCCATAGAACCCCCCCAGACCTCCTCCCCAGACCCCCCAAGTCTCCTCCCACTGACCCCAACCCCCACCCCAGTCTCCTCCCACTGACCCCCTCGCCCCCCATGAAACCCCCCAGATCCCCCATTGACCCCCCCCGGCCTCCCACCCATGAAACCCCCCAGACTTCCACCCTCAGCCCCCCCAGTCTCCTCTCACTGACCCCTCTGATCGCCTCCCCCAGACCTCCCCGTGATTCCCTCACCCCAATGAACACCCCTGACCTCTCACTGACCCCACCAGACTCCACTAGCCATGAACCCCTTGATCCCCATCCCCACACAGCCCCACTGACACCCCCAGACCCCTTCACCCCATGACCTTCCAGATCCCCTCACCACATTACCCCCCCACCCCCTGGCCCCCATGAATCCTTGTTGTACTTAAAGTACTGCACAGAATCTTTTCAGGGGGAATAAGGCAAAACGTCACATTAATTAGTAATACATGTATTAATTAACACTGTATCATATGCATATGATAGATAATGTTTTCACCCCTCAGCTCACAGACAGCCAAGATTACACACACTCACACACACACACTCCGTCTTCTTGTTACCAATTAGTTGCTCCCCTTAACTTCCCTGGCCAGGTGAGTTAGATGGGGGAGGGGGTGGAGCCGGGCTTCTGCCGATCCGGATCGATGCTCCCATGTTGACAAGACGAGACCCGGGGTCCTCTGCAAGACACCTCACTTTTATAGCAGCTTCCCTCTCATGCAAATGTGTACCAGCTTCAAAATCTGTGTTTGTGTCCATTGGTCCTTTGTGCTGCTTCCTTCTGGGTGTTGTCCCAATGCTGCAAAGAGGGTGTTTCCAAAAGAAGGTGCTTGCTTCTAACCCCCGAGGCCATCAGTATGTCTGCTCTTCTTTAATGAGCCCACGTGACAAGTTTTATTGTCCTTGGGTCTGGCTCCCAGCCCCTCTCCAACTGTTGCAGCTGTCTGGAGGCACTGCCTTCCAAGCCTTTACTCATTCACACCTCGTTCATTCAACAGGGCAATTGATTAAGGGAGTTGGGGGGGGGGAGATCTTGTTCTACTCCTAGCAAAAAGACATTTTTCTTCTATCTTGCTCTATCCTTAGGGGCTTATAACATTAGACCAAGGCTTTACACAAAGTTTCTACATGAGGCTTTGATACAAAGTTTCCATATACCAAGGCTCATCAATACAAGGTTTCTATATTAGGCCTTGATATAAAGTCCCATGAAAACAGAGGTCACACGCGCGTAGACCCACCACAAGGTTATATGAAGAGGCACAATATAAAGTCATATGAAAATTATCAGAGATTTATCTACATCCTCCTGACACCCCCCCAGACCACCAGCACTCTCCCCAGGTTCCTCGCTGACACCTCAGTAGGCCCTCATAACCCTGCCAGTGACCCCACAATAGGGCCTCTAATTCTCCATTGACCCAACACCCCCGCACTGAACCCTCATCAGCTTCCACTCTGCCATGGCTCCCAGGAGTTCCCGGCTCTTGCACCTCCACTGACACTCCCAGGAGTCCCCCTAGACTCCTCACCAGCCCCCAGGGACTCCCCCTACCAGGTCCCCCAGATACCTTCCACTTGGCTCCTCAACACTCCCAAAATCCCTTAGCAAATACTCATCACCCCCACCAACCCCGAACATTTCCCAGTGGCCCCCACAAACATTCTCTTGGAGAGACCATGAACGTCCCCCAGCTCCTTCACCAACCATCTCATGGCCTCCTTAACACCACTCTGACCTCCACATAAAGCCCCCATTACTGTTGTGATGAACCCTTTGCCTCAGTGACCCCCACATCCCTTCACTGACCTCCTCCTTCAATGAATCCAATACCTCCCAGTGATGTTCTCTGCAAGCCTGAGATCCTCCCCAATGGCATCCACAGAGTCCCCCGTCGTTCCCCTTGACTCCCTGCACTATGACCTCTTCTGTCCCTTGCCAGCACCCCATGAATAATCCACTTCACATCCCCTGGCACTCCACTGATGACAGTCCTTCATTCGTCAATCCTCCTCACACCCTCTCACTGCCCAATCTCCACTTCCCAATGTATCCTCGTATCCACGTCTCAGTGACACCCCCTTGGACCCTCACCGACATTCCTGATAAACCCCAACTTCTCCTGACTGATGTCACTTCAGACCTTTCACACTCCAAGTCACCCCAGCCTGCCCCATAGCACCACATCCTAAATATCCTCTTGCTCATTGGATTCTGAGACACTAGGAAGAAAAGCATTCAGTGCTCCCCAGAGCAAACCAAGGGCTAGGTGCAGAGAACTAACACAAGCGGGTCCCAGAAGTACAAGGGGAATCCAGGCTGAAATTGTGGAAAAGCAGCATCACTTGCCCCATAACCTCAGCCACGCTGAACACGACGCCAGTCACAGCCTCCAGAACAACCCTGACATCATAATCAAACAGGCTGACAAAGGAGGTGCTGTCATCATCATGAATAAGTTGGAATATGAACAAGAGGCTGCTAGGCAGCTGTCTAACACCACATTCTACAGGCCATTATCCTCTGATCCCACTGAGGGTTACCAAAAGAAACTGCACCATCTGCTCAAGAAACTCCCTGAAAAAGCACAAGAACAAATCTGCACAGACACTCCCCTAGAACCCCGACCAGGGGTATTCTATCTGCTACCCAAGAGCCATAAACCTGGAAATCCTGGACGCCCCATCATCTCAAGCATTGGCACCCTAACATCAGGATTGTCTGGCTATGTGGACTCTCTCCTCAGGACCTACGCTACCAGCACTCCCAGCTATCTTCAAGACACCACTGACTTCCTGAGACTGACAGAGTCAGAAGAGTACCCAAAAGTCACCTATTACAAGACTAGCCCAACAAAGAAAGTAACAGAACGCCACTAGCCATCGCCTACAGCCCCCAACTAAAACCTCTCCAGTGCATCATCAAGGATCTACAACCTATCCTGAAAGATGATCCCTCACTCTGACAGATCTTGGGAGACAGACCTGTCCTCGCTTACAGACAATCCCCCAACCTGAAGCAAATACTCACCAGCAACCACACACCACTCAACAAAAACACTAACCCAGGAACCTATTCTTGCAACAAAGCCCGATGCCAACTCTG